ATAATTTTCATTTTTTCATTTTATATTTTCTGTATTTTCAGAGTTCCTACAGTTAATATATATTGCTGTTATGAAAATGTTGTCTGTTTAAAAAAAGAATTTAGAATTCTAAGAAAGCCATTTGAGTATATGACCTGATGATTCACATAAAAAGGAGATATAGAAAGCAAATGCTTGGAAAAGTTTTGGCCTCACAAGTAACGGAATGCAAATTAAAATAAATATGAGATATCCCCTCAGATATTTAGAGGAACACTTTTTCTGTCTATGTAAAACACTAAAGTGATCTTAGGAGTTGTATTCCTTATGATCAAAAGTATGCGACTGGCTCTAGAGCTGCCCTGCCCTGTGAGGTAGCCACTTGCCAACTGTGGCTATTTAAATATAAATTTTAATTCAGATAAATAAAATGTAGAAATTCAGTTCCTCACTTGCACTAGCCACATTTCAAATGTTCAGTATGCACCTGTGTCTACTGGCTACCATACTGGACATCACAGATATAGACGATTCCATCATTATAGGAAGTTCTGTAGGACAGTGCTGCTCAACATATGGTAACTTATTTACCATAGACAATCATCCTTGGAAGGGTAGCAGTCACTTTTAGAGCAGAAGAGAGGAAGGACATCATATATGCAAGGGGAGAAGTTCAGACACAATTGTATCTAGAATTTCACTTAATATCTGCTTGTTCAACAAATAATTGTAGAATATCTGTTATGTGCTGAAGTGCTGCATGTCCAGTGGTGAGCAAGACAGGCTTGTTCCTGGTGTCCAGGAGCATATATCCTAATGGCAGAGACAACTTTTTACTTGCTCTTCTCAAAGAAATGTTGATCGCTGCTTCCAACTTCAGTTCTTTGTGAAATGTTGCCTTATATAGGGATACCACCCAAGCTGTTTAAATAAACAGGAATCCTTGACCATTCCCACCCTGCCTACTGCATTCCCTGTACCACTTGCCCTGCTTTATTTTTCTCTAGTCTGTTATTTTCTTTATTTTTACCACTTAGCATGTTATATATTTATTACTTTGTCTATTTTGTGTCTCTCTTGATTGGGAAAAAGGTTCTAATAGAGTAGGGGTGTTGTTTTGTTTGATTCATTGTTCTAACTTCTAGTCCAATATGTAGCTTCAATTTAATAGTTTGTGTCCTTATGTGATAGGGCATTAAATCCGACAAATATATAGTACAATTCATCTGGAAGTAGAAGAAGACAAATATTTCAAAATATGGGTTTTTTTTTCTTGGAAAAGACAATGATGGTCGACTTGGTTGTTTCAGGTTGTGAAACATATTACAGATTGGAAATCATTTCATTCTGTGGAGTTAGGTTAAAATAGTTTTTAAAAATCCATGGAGTGTATTAGAGATTTGGGGAGAGATTTAGGTAGTCAATAGTGACACACTATAAGACAAACCTCAAGTAACCTAGGAATGAAGCAGGAATTAATATTTAATTAATGTTTTGAGGACAATTGAATATTCATATGGAGAAAAAATAATCAATTCATGAATTAGGTCACCTACAGCAGCAAATTGCAGATGTTTTAAAGAGTTAAAAACTAGAATAAAAATGTATAGACTATTCTTTTCTTTTTAAGAGGGAGTTTTTTCTTCTTTATATTAAATATTAGTAAATAGTAATGAACAAAATAAATAACAGTGCCTGGATATTGAAAAGTAGTTTACACAATGAAATATAATGAAATATTCTAAATGGAATACAAAATTATATATGAAATGACAACTGAAAAGAGCTCATCAAAATATGTTACTCATACTAAATATACAATCATTAGGTTTTGGGAAAATGGTTTACAGGGCTTGAATTGTTTGTGTATGACAGAAGATAGAAATGAAATGATTCCACGGAAAGTGGCCAACCTTGTTAACAGCGAGGGAAATAAAAAATAACTTTTAGGTATAATTAAATTGATAAAAACAATTATAATTTACTGATGTAGCAGTCAGTTATACTAGGAAACACATGGCACAATTCAAGAAACAAGGGCAGATTTAACAAGAAGGGATAGGAGAGTACTGAGGGATTTTACCACCTCTAGACCCTGAGGGTACGTGGAGCAGGCACTATTACTAGATCCTAAGGAAAGCTTGGAGATGTGGAGGAAGGGCTTCAGTAGCAGCTGTATCCAGAACACAGAAGCCCCTACAAGGAGAGGGAGATGGGGATGGAGGCAGAGGTAGAGTAGGTGCCTGACTTCTTTCTCTTCCACTTTATAATCTCCTGCAAGAACCTCATATTAGATGAATACAACTAGAGCCCCAAAGCAAAAGCTATTTGGTGGTAATAAGGAACATCCTGTGTATCTGTGGATAGTTTGCTGACAGTATTGTAAATTTATTATTTTAGAGGATCAGCCTAGCAAGCAGTATAAAACTGTCTGCATACCCTCATCTGTTGATTCCTCTTTTGGTGAAATATGCCAAAAAAATCTGAAAGTAAATACAGTAATTTTGCACAATTCTTTATAATAGCAAAAAAAAAAAAAAAAAAAAAAAAAACAAAACACATCATAAAAGATGAGCAAGAAGGAAATAACTAAGAAGATAAGAAAATGATTTGTAATATTGCTAATGTGTACCTCAACTCATTCCAAAAATGGATTAAAGCATGATGGTGCATTAGAATGATGGAATAAATATAGCCTTTTAAAATAAGTATTTAGATAATGGCAGTACATGAAAGTGTTTTATAGGAAAGAATGTTATGTGAATAATATGTGCAAATGGATTAAAACTTTTAAACTGTATGTATTACACATAAAAATATAATTTGATATGATGTAATTTTATTTGAGCCATGTCCAATCTTTATTGTAAAGAGAAAATAAATAAAAATAAAAGAAAATAAGGAGATGTTCATATGTATGAGGTTCTTTTTCCTGAAAATTTTTAAAAGATTTTCTTAAGTGCTTCCTACATTTCTTGGCTGTCCATGATATTATAAGATGCAAGGTGAAATGTTGTCATTCATAGGGGACAGAAAAAACATCTTGAAAAATTATTTGAATTTCTTGTTTAAATGAACTGAGTAATAGGTTCCACGTAGCTTTGTAAAACACAGACTTTTCGTACCCAGGATTTTGAAAAAAGTCTTGATCCAGAAATAGATTATTTTTATTAATCCACTGACTAAAAAGCAAATTTCTGGATGGCTTTTTGGCAAGTGTCCAGTTGCAGAAAATGCAGTGTGGTATACTCTAATGACTCTAGAGAGTCCCACATAATTCCTTGAAATGTCGCTGAATGAGGGAGGTCTTTTGTTTTGGTTGTGATGGAATTGGTCTGCTACGTCTTCAACTTTATTATATTTTTAACCTATGTGTCAGAAAGTTTCACTGTAAAGCAAGTGTTAGGAAGATGCTAAAAGAAGTAAATCCTAATTCTTATCCATCATAGGAAGATCAATTTTATATTAGATCTGGGACCATGTAAATTAAATTAAATTTTAATCCTAGGTTAGATGTTCCAGGAATATAGCCCAACCTAAAGTTAACCTAAAACAAAATAAGAGTCCTTTATCCCTCTTTCATTTAAAAATTTACTAAATTGTTCATTCATTTCACAAACGTTTGTTGAACGTCTTGTGTGTGCCAGGCACTAAGTTATATGCTAGAACAATAACTAGAAGATTACATAATTTGATGTAATTTATTTCCATTAATTGCACTGTGCCTGCAATTACCCTATGAAATTAGATACACTAAAAATCTTTAAAAACAAAGTCAGGTAGGGGTCAATTAATAGATGAGGAAAAAGCAAACTGCTCAGATGGGAGGTGGCTTCGACGCAAAATAAACCCTGTTCTCTTTCTCCCACCTCCATTTGGCAAATGCTGGCATTAGTGTTCTGAGATCCCAAAACAAACGCCCTGGGACACATGGTTTGAGAAGGGAAATTTTCTCTTTTATGAATTTGTGTGAAAGCCTTTTAAACAATATCAGATTAAGTGACATTGACTTATTCTTTTGGTTAAGCAACTTATTGAAAATTTTTAAAAATTACATAAAAATTTGGATGGTCTAAGAACGTCTGGAACATCTGGCCCCCATATTACCCACCACAATTTTGTGAAAATTTAAACTTTCTTTCTCTGCTGCAGTTTTTCACTCTTTTCTCACATTCTCTGCCCACCACTCCCACTTCTTTTTCTTTTTATCTCTATGTTTTTCTGTCTTTTCACCAGCCAACTTTTTTTCGTGTGTTTTTAATTAGGTGTCTTAGCTTTTGCAATTTGATCATGCTGACATCGAAATTTACAGCAAAATGCAAAATGACCAATTACTGCCTCATTTCATCAGATGTAAAGATCACAGCAGGAACCAGGGCTGCTCTTTTCTGGTCTTTCTCCAGCTTCAGCATTGTCTCTTTGGCTGAGTCCACTCTGAGAAGAATGCATGCAAACCTATACTTCCATGCTTCTCAGATAATCCATGGATAAAAAGATTGACATTATTGGGAGGGTTTTGATTTATCTTCTCCTACCTACCTGTTTTCCTCTCCAGATGCTTTCTGTGTTTGTGTCCTGCAATTTGAGTGAGGGTTAGGAGTGAAAATGTCTGGAATTACTAACTACCATTAATCACCTTTCTTATACTTAGAATGACTGTTTCATCTTTGGTCACCTTACATTGAGTGGAAAAGTGTTCTCCAGCAAAGCCAAACTTGGAGGCTGAGGGAGAGGTTGGTGTACTAGAGAAGGGAGAAACAAATTAGGAAGAAGAGGCTGGGGGTCTGTGAAAGAATTCTGGTTTCAAGGCTGAAATGACAGGCTAACTTGATGGAGAAGCTACTGAAGAATGATACAGTTTTCATGATTTCAGGCTGAAATGCTTCTCTTCTAAGCAACTTTAAAAAACAGAAGAAATGTTATTGACAACTATTTCAGCTCGATTTTTAGGTGGTTCCAATACTGAGTTGTAGTTTAAAAATATGATAAAACATACTGAGTTGTTTTGTTTTTCTCACCAGGTTTGCAACACAACTACAGACAGGAAACATGCAGACATCTTTTTGGAAAAGTGTGTTACTGAGTCAATAATGAATATTGTGAGCGGCTTCTTTAATTCCCCCTTTTCAGACAATAGTACCAGCCTCCAGGTAAGTCAAAGAATTGCAAAACATTCTGTTGCAAAGAGTTTCTCTTATTTGAGTAGGGGAAATTTTTTCTGCTCAGGAAATTATTTCCTATACTTGAGATGTTTATTCTTCTCTTATATTATTTACTATTATGCCTCTTTCTGAGTTTACCAAACTTTATTTTAAATAAAGAGACCTCATCTTTAAATTGAATTATTTTTCCCCTTTCTCTAAGCAGACTAAGAGCTTTCATATCTGTATGTTGTTTGCCAAGTGTTGAAATAACTGCACAGTTAATTCTTTAAATGATAGACATTTTGCCCCTGAAGTTATACTTATCCTAATAGAATTAACAAAGTTTTATATAATAAAACTTTTAATCCGAGTATTTATAATACTAAAAATTTGATCAATTAAACATCCTTAAAAGGAGGAAAAGCTAAATAAATTATGATATATCTGTAGGATGGTCTATTATATAGCAATTAAAAATCATGTTTTAAAGGAAAAATTGATGACCAAGAAAATAAACATGAAGTAATATTAGGCCACTGAATTCCATTATAGTATCATCCAAATTTGTTTGTGTAAAGACTATATAAACATACATATCAGGGAGTAAATGTCTTCAAATATTGATACTATATCTCTGTGTTGTAGGATTCTTGATGATTTACATTTCAATGGTCCACAGATATTCTACAGTGATTGTGTATTACTCTTCTAAAATATCATTTCAATTATACTTTCTTTAGGGAAAAATTTTAAACCATTAGATAGAACCACAGGAAATTGTTTCTGTAGTTCAAAATGGTTGTCTCCTCTACTTGCCCATCATATGAAACCAAAACAAACCAACCAACCCAGAAACACCTGCTTATTTGCACATGGGAGTAAACCATGGATTATAAAAAATATTCATGTCATTGGCTTCAGGAAATGGCATATTTTTCTGGTTTAGAATATAATTAAAATGAAAATAATCCATTTTCTATAGTGTGTAGCATGTTGCCTCTCCTGAAGAGAGTACCTAATGAATGTTTGATGAATGAGATATTTATTAGCTAGCACTGAAACTTGAAAGATTGTATTTTATGTTATTTTGGTGAACCTTGCTGATAATGCATAGACACTGCATCAGGGCTGTTAATGGTTTAGCATATCTTTTTGCCTACCTTCTTTCTGGTTTTAGACACATCAGCCAGTTTTTATTCAGCTACTGCAATCTGCCTTCAGAATTTACAATTGCACCTGGCCAAACCCGTCACAGAAAGCCTCGGTGGAATCCTGTATCAGAACTTTGGCTGAAGTGGGTAAGTCACGGTTTGAGTTTTACTTATTTTTACATTTCTGGAAGAAATTAGGTTTTTGGCTAATGGGCACCACAAGCAGCTTCCCAATTTACAACTCAATAAGAAAACAGGCATGTTTTCTGTGAAATTGAAGAGCAGCCATCAGCAAATGATTCCGAATGTTGCATATACTTTTTGGGAGGAGGACATAATCATTATATTAAAAATCTTAAATTTAATATTATTGCATATGGAACTTTAATATGGCTCAGTCAGACTTTACAGAATTTTAGTTAATCGTTACCTCAGATTTCATTATGGAATTGTCTTGTCTATTAGGTGACCTGACTTAGTAATACCTTCATATGACATAGGACTTTTTGAGGGTCTTGTAGTTTTCCAATTTTGTTTGAAGTCCATCAGTATTTATTGAGGGCCTATTATATATAGAAGGCTTCAGAAATTACAAATGAAATTGAAGGCAAGGGAATTACAGCTAAAGGGAGGTAAGCAGAGAGAGAGAGAGAGAGAGAAAGTGAATAAGTTAATTAGGGTCATTCCCCCAATGGTGGAGGGGAGAGGAGAAGAAATGCACACTTGGCTGTACTGAACAAAAAAAGGAAGAGCTTGATCATCCTCTCAACTAATGGTAGCTCTGCAGGCATTGGGAACGACAGCTTATAGCATATTTCATTATCAGTCATCATCACTGTTAACATTTATTGAGTACTTATCATGTGCAATGCCAGCAATTTATATGCATTATCTCACTTAGCATTTAGTCCTTAGATAGGTAAATTATTTACATTTTATAGTTAAGAAAACAGAGAGTTTTATAGGTTATGTAATTTGGCCAGGGTTATAGCATACCTCAACAAATATGTGAGAAATGAATAAATGACTTAATTAATGAATGACCATTTAAAATGTTTTTATTCATTTCTTTCTGTTTGCAGTTTGACCTAGGTTCTTTTATATTAACAAAATTTAGTGACAGCCCCAATTTTAATTTCAATACATTGAAAGGCAGTTATAACCCAAGAGGATCAATTGAAAATTAGTAGAACTAATAGACTAATAATACAGTTGATTTAGGTAATTAATTATAAATGAGTATTATACTTAATAGACTTCCTGTATACCACAAAAGAGAACATAATGTGAAAAGGACATCATTATCAATAGCAACAAAAACATTAAACATCTAAGAATAAACTTAATATGAGAGAATAAAATTTTACTATATTAAAGGATATAAAAGATTTTAATAAATAGAGAAACAAATAATTTCTTGATTGGAAAATTCAATGGATAAAGATGCTAGTTCTCCTCAAATAAACTAATAACTTTAATGTTTCCACACCTGGAACCATTCTTTGCACATACCCTCCTCACCTCAGAGCCCACATGAGCTGGGATGCCCCTTGGTGGGCCACACCCCACAAGGATGCTGTCCTTTTGCAGTTTGGCCTCTGCTACCCTCCTATGGAGGGACGTTGTCTTCATCTCCGGTCTTAGTCTGTTTTGTGCTTACTGTGTTTTGTGCTGCTATAACAGAGTGCCTGAGACTGAGCAATTTATCAAGAATAGAGATTTATTTCTTACAGTTCTGGAGGCTGGGAAGTCCAGAATGGAGAGGCTTGGCGTCTGGTGAGGGCCTTCTTGCTGCATCGTCCCATGGGGAAGGCAGAAGGTGGAAAGCAAGAGAGGAAAAGAGAGAGAGAGAGAGTAAAAGGAAGGGGGTTAAACTCACATTTTTATTAGAAACCCACCCCTGGGATAATTAACCCACTCATAACAGCATCAATTCATTCACAAGGGCTCTTCCCTCTTTAAAAGTCCCACCTCTCACCTCTGTTGTATTGAGGATTAAGTTTCTAACACACGAACTTCGAGGGACACAATCAAAACATAGCACCTCCCTTGGGCTGGTGCTAGGTCAGGCTGCTGCTCTGCAGGGGATCTTCTTCACCTGGCTTGGCCTCTACCTCTCTATCCTGGGCCACTACTTTGCATGGATACACTCCTTGCCTGTAACCAGGCTGCTCCTTGCATGGACACCCTCCTCACCCCACTTGAGTACTGATTCTCTGCAGGCAGTCCTGCTACATAGACCTTCCACTCCCTTTTGGGCCTCCACATTCTGGAGCGCCATGGCTCCTTTGCACATCTTACCCAGCATGGATACTTTCTGTGCTGCACTCCTCCTAAAGATTTTAGAACTGAATGGTGTGGGAGGGGAAATGACGAGGTACAAGAAGAGGAAGAGGTCACAATTGTATCGTATCAAGAATAAAGAAGGACACACAAAAGTAAAGAAGGAGAAATAAAGAAAGAGAACCTAATTTTTATTTTAAAAGGATACACAGAGGAAAGTGTTCAGAGAGATAAATAAAATTTTAACATTGATTATCTCTGAGTGGTGCATGAATGATGTGTGGATCTGGTTTCTTCTTCACACTTTTATGTAATTTCTGATATTACTTTCAAGTTATAATGAAACAGCAGTAAATGCATTTTTATTTGGGTCAAATCAGTTAGGAAACACATTAACCATTAAAAGATAAAATCCAAAGGAAAAGCAAAAAATCATGATGGTGTTAATTTTTACATAGGAATACACTGTCTTAGCTGCTAAGTATTTTTCTGTATTTCACATATTAAGGCAGTCTCTCCTCTTTTTCCTTCTTTCTCTCTCCTCACTCCTCTTGTTCCTTCTCCTCCACTCCTCAAATTTAGCAAACGTAAGGCGGGGAAATGCCAGTTGGCCCTACACAGGGCATAGCGGGCATGTTGTTGATCATATGTATACATTGAGAGAAAAAACTTGGAGCCACAAGTGAAATTCCATATTGTGACTGCTTTCTGAATTCTGACTTCAGTGATACGCATTGTGTAATCCAATCAGTTCATGCATAGAATTGCAGATTTGGGGGCTTAATATAGTTACTGAAACTATATTAGTTTAAATACATCTTTTATTTCTAAGTAATAAGATTTCATTTCCTACCATTTCCGTAGTGGCCAAAACATTTTAATTTAAGAGGAAATTTTGGTTTCTTTTTGTATGCTATAAAGACATGTGTGATAAGTCTAAAAATAATTATATGGAAGTGTATAATCCAGATACGTGAAGAGTGAGGTTTCCGTGTCAATCTCAGTTTCCTCTTGGTGAGAAGGCGTGCCTTCTTCATTTTCCTTGTTGGTCCCTTCCATCTGAACAGTTAAAGCTCTGGAAATTCTGTCCCCAGTCTCCCTCTGCATTTGTTCCTCCCCTCCCCTTCCCCCCATTGTGGCCTCATTAACCCTTCATTACTTTCTTCTTGGACCACTGCAAGAAATTAATATTATCTCCTTCTGTCTTCCCTTATTTAAATAAGCCTGATACCAGAGTAGTCTTTCTGAAGTGAAATTATTTCTTTTGGTTTAAAAAAATCAACACTACGTCCCCAACCTTCAGCAGCATCCCTTTACCTAGCACTCTAAGGCTAGATTCCTCACTGTTACATCTAGGATGCCCCCACATGGCTCACACTAGCTTTCTCCAGTTCCCACCACTGCCACTCCTCAACATCTTTCCCATTACTCAACTTGTTTTTCTGTTCAAATTCTTCCATAACCATCCTTGGCTCCTACATCCAAATCTGAACTCTCCCCCATTGGTCCACGTATGCCTTCCTAAGAGTCTGTGATATGGTTTAGGTATTTGTCCCCTCCAAATCTCATGTGGAAATGGGATTCCGATGTTGGAGGTGGGGTCTGGTGGGAGGTGACTAGATCATGGGGGCAGATCTCTCATGAATGGTTTAGTGCCATCCCCTTGGTGATAAGTGAGTTCTTACTTGGTGAGTTCCTGTGAGATCTAGTTGTTTATAAGTTTGGGACTTGCCCCCACTCTTTGCTCCTGCCATTGCCATGTGACCCCGTCTGCTCTCCCTGTGCCTTCCACCAAGGGTGGAAGCTTCCTGAGGCCTCACCAGAAGCCGGACAGGTGCAGAGGCCATGCTTGTGTGGCCCGCAGAATGATGAGCCAGTTAAAACTCTTTTCTTTATTAATTATCCAGCACCTGGTATTTCTTTTTAGCAATACAAGAACAGCCTGATACAGTCTCATTTCATTCTAACTTACATCATCACAGGCACTCTTCTTGTCTCCCATATTAGATTTTGATGGGCAACTATAAAGTAGCTGTCAAAAAGAAATTAATAGAAAGTTGTTACCTAGGATGAAGGTGAAAAGCAGATTCTGCTTAATGATGATTAGACTGTATGCTTTTTGGTTGTTGTTAGATGCTGGTCATAGAAACAGAGAACCAAAGTTGAACACATTCAGAAGTGAACCCTCACAGTCATCAAGGGATCTAAAATCACCTCACTTTAGTGTTTGAAAACATTTGAAATATTTAAACAAAGAAATGAAATCTGAGGAGGAACACAATAATTATTTTTAAACTTTTGAAGGTTAGAATGGGCTGTTTTTTTTTAACAGGTTCCCAAAGACAGAATTATAGCTCATATATGGCAGCTGCAAGAGGCAGATTTCTGTGCTACTTGAAAAATAACTCTTTTGCAGTTAGTACTCTTTTAAAACCTTAGGTGTCACAATGGATTCTTCCCTTTTGTTTACTCTCATTAAACACAGCAGCAAATTCTGTCAGACCCATTTCCAGAATCTCTCTTTTTCCTTCTTTTGTGTCACCCTTGTCCAAATCCACCATCATCGGACATGGATGACAGAAGAGTGTCCTTACTAAATGTGCCACTGCAATCCATTGCGTGTACAGTTGTTAGAGGATCTTAACATGTAAACCAGAGCGTGTCACTCATCCACTGACAACTCCCCATTGCACTTACAAAAGCCCTTCCTCATCTGAGCTGCGTCTAGTCCGATCTTTTCCCATCACCCTCCATCTCCTCCAACTCTGCTCCAACCACACTGACCTTCTTTCCGAATCTCTCATCTGCTTCAGGCATTTCCTCACCTAAGGACATTTGCATATGCCATTCCCTCTGTTTGGATC